GGGGGGGGGGGGGGGGGGGCAATCAGTCCCGTCTAGCTGAAAGATATGGGCTCGCGAAAACCAGCGACGGAGGATGCACCGGGCCCCGCTCGGCCTCGGCCCCTCCATCGCTAAGGGACCAGCCTCCTCTCGTCAGCTCGGACCCACGAGGACAAACCGCGGGCGGCGGAGCAAGTTCAACAGGGGCAAAGACCAGGTGGCTCGACGCAGCCCGGGCCACCCCCCCCCCCCCTCAGCTGGTAGGTGGCCCGCAGGAGTCCCAGAAGCCCGGCGCCCCTTGCCGGCCCTCCCTCCGGCGGCTTGGGTGGCCGGGCAAGGGCCCCCGGGACACCATTCCCAGGGTGGACTCTGCCTCCCGATGAGGGACACCTTCCAGGTCCAGGGATCAAACAAGGGAAAGACCGCGGGCCGGCAGGGCCGTACCTATCCACCGGGAGCCCCGAATGGGGAGGGTTTTTTCTATGAAACAAACCGCCGAGGACGAACACATCGAACCCTCTGAGACATCGGCCCCCCCTCCCCCGGCGCCCTTCACAGACACCTTCGCCCCGTGATGGTTGGGACGCACAGACATCCGGCTAAATGCCGAAGACAAACCAGAGAGCGCGAGGACCCATCCCAGGGCCCTAAGTCCCCGGATACCCCGCCCCTTTAGCTCGACACGTTTAGGGTAAAGTGGCACGGTAAATATGTGCGATCCCCATCCCAAAATCCCCATAACTGTCTAGTGGATTCTCGTCCTTCCTCCGGCTTTCCGGACGCCTCTCGTTCGGGTGGGGGGGGGGGGGGGGGGGGGCCGGGGACCCTGCCCGCCCCCAGGAGCCGGCACAGAAAAAGCCCTCGCCGCAACGGGTAATAATGGCCAGATAAGTGCGACCTTTTTTATTACAGGCCATATAAGAAACAGCACCAGGGTCCATTTCCGAGTCTCCTCTTCCCTTTTTTTCTCGTGGACGAGGGCTGTCGAAGGGGACACCCCGACCCCCGCTCCTCCCCCCTCCCCCCTCGCTGGGCACTCTTGCCGATGGGCCTCTCCAGGCCGAGTGCCGCCATTTTCAACAACCCAACCAATAGCCATTGACACAGGCGGACTCCGTCGGTCCACCACGCCTGAATGGAAATCACGGGAAGAGAACAAATCACACCACCAACCATTCATGTAGCAGGGTTCACACGGGTTAAGCCTAAGTCAAGTGAGTGAGGCTTGACGAAGGGTACCAGTGTGATCTGCCACCTGGTTAGTAACCTCTTGGCATGACGGAGGGGACATACCAACTAGCGGTTCACGGTCGTCTGTTACCAGATGAGTCAGTAACTCGGCTTGAGACGAGTTAGTGGCAAGCGAAAATAGAAAGGAACTCGGATGTTAAAAAGGGTTCGAGAGGAAGCCTTAGAACAGGTGTTCGTCGGCCTAACTGGTGCTTCGGCTATACTTCCGTATACTCTTCGACACACAGCTGCTAAGGCTTTCGCTCTCAGGAGGCTCTCAACGAGAGTCCCCCTTTTTGACCTTTGGGCTCGGTCAGGGGTTGGAACTGAGAACCCCGCGGCTGGGCCCGCCCACCCGCGTATCTCCGTCCTCGGTCGAGCGTTTATGCCGCTCGGCCTCGGCGGCCACCTGGCTGTTGTTCTACCCCGCATTCCTCTCCGAGGAATGCTGTTCTGGGAT